AATGTAAATATAGCTGAACTTACTACTTCAAATAATGATAAAAAACATACTAAAAAGAAGATTTACCTTTATGATGCCATGGACGAAAACTTTTGGACACAATTTGGTAAAAAAATGGATGGTTTTATTGGAAGCTGTCAACTATTCAACTTCACTTCTAATAGATTACACTCAAAATACACCTTCAATTTCTTCTGGAATCTTATGCAAGGATGTATCAAAAAAGCAGCAGAAAAATGTATTCCATCAAGATATTCATCTCAACACTCTTGTAACCTTAAACCAAGATTATTAAAGAATCTTTATAAACAATTAGTTTTAATACAAAAGTTTCAACGTATAACAAAAAAATGCATTTGTAATACTGAAGATAATTGTATAAAAGAAGGACAATTTCCTTTATGTGAGATTTCACAAAAAAAGATTATCACACCTTTGCTCCAATTTTAAAAAGTAAACAACTTATGTTTCTTGACTAGATTACAACATCAGATGGTGCAGCACTCTTCACATTATCTGACCTCAAATTTTCAGTAGCTCGTCTGGCAATTCCCAAAGCTCCTGCTTAGTTTCTCAAATTACAATCATTGCTCATATTATTACCTAACATAAGAATCATTCCTTTAAACTATCATCACTCATATACTAATAATATATACTTAATTCCTCTGATCTATATTAAAAGTACCATATACTTTGTTGTAGGTTAGCACTTAAATTCCCATTATACAATAATTAGAAAAGTACTTAGAATCAAAAATGATATAGTTCACTTATAATATTTTAATGCATTACTAAACTATACTTTCAAAACTTTATTGTTATAATGCAATAAATGCTCTCTTAATTATGATTCTTCCTTTGTTCCTTTTAATATGAGAAATAAATATGAAGCTTACTTTGTGATATTACCTTTATACCTATGTGCTGATATTAAGCTCCTCTCCTTCCAACTGTTAGTCATATCTGTTCTTTGTTTCCTTACATGTTTTATGAAATTGCCTTATATAGTTACAATTTAATTGATAATAGTACACTTAATGTTCCCTACCTTATCCTCTCCGTCTCTCACTCTTGATAAAATTTTTAATATAGAAATCCTTAGTAGTTTAGATATCCTTAAAAATTACTTTATATAATCAACTAACCTTTCGTTTTACACTGATAGTTTCCTTATCAACTTAGGTACTTTTTCAATCTATATAGGCGTGACCTGATTGCAATCTAATCTTTTGATACCTTTACTTTTCTTTAATGCTACACTCATCCTTTCCCAATTTTCATCTTCTCTAGCAGAATTAGTAACAATATTATCTGCTTTATATGTAGCTCCTACAAATGCTACAGTTAATATTTTCACAGACTCACAAAATATCATTTCATCTTTTGATAAAATGAACTACTTCTATACCTTCTCTCCTACCTTTAACCCCATTTTTAAAATCTCCCTTTATTCAATTTAGTTCCTTATCATAAAGTTAATTAGAGTAAAATCCATTTCTATTGAATTCACAAAGTCAAAGCTCACTCTAATGATCATTATAATAATGTAGTTGATGTATTAGCAAAAGCTAATGATCCTCTAATTATATCAAATAACAAATTTCTAGGACACCATTATAATCTCTATTTTAACGAAAATATTATACTTAGTCCATTTAGATTGTTCATAAAGGATCTTTTCAGCTCAATCGACTTTCATAATATACAACTACTTCTACACTTTAAGAAATATAGTACAATAGATATTGATTGGATACGAACCTTTTTCATCTTCAACGATAATGAAAATAACTCCTATACATCCTTCAAGACTTCTTCTATTCGCAAACTTAAAATCAAACTCATGTTTGAACTATTTTCTACATTAGAAATCCTCAAGATAAGACACTCTAATCTATATGACCAATCATGGAATTGTTCTAAATGTTCACGTACTTATGAAACTTTTAATCATATTTGGACTTATACTAAAAGTGAATATCAATTCACTGACATTATATTCTCAACTAAAAGGTTTTTTATATAACATCTCATTATATTGACCTCAGATAATCAGTATTTAACAGATCTTCTAGATTTGACCATATGGTCCCTAAATGATCAACCTGACTCTTTTAACTTTATTGATCTGATCAAAGAAATTATACCCCTTCCTCTATTCAACAAAACACATCACTTTATTAACAACCTTCAATTAACAAACGGCCTCCTATTTTCTACTTACTATTATGCATTTTTCTAAATAAAATTCACCTGACTTGATCGCTATAATGATATCAAAAATTTTGAAAACTTCAACAATATCTCACTTAATGATCAAAAATTACATTTCACCAATACTGGCTTTCCTTCATCATTACCACACAATTTTAGTATTCCTTTATACTTTATTTCCTCCTTTAAATTTAGTACGAACTGGTTGAATTTTTAGATTAGTAGCAATCACGCCTTCTGTACTGGATGGTTGAACCTATTTTAAGTTTATTAGGATAGATTAGTCTGGAACAGTGCAAGGTTGATTTTGATTTGGTTTTATTGCTAAATAGGAATTTTTGTACTCTCTATCTTGTAATTTATAATTTTGTAAAATTTTACTTTACTTCTAAATAAAGATTGTGCAAAGTTACCACATGTTAAAAAAAAAAAATTTTAATAAATAATCAAGCAAATTCAATAAAAATATTACAAAACTTTATTTTTTTTTAATTTAATAAAATATAATTTTTTTCAAATTGAAAAATTACATTTAATATAAAAATTATTAAGATATATACTCGTTTACTTAGAAAAAATTCTCTAATTTTTATAGTATATTAATTTATAAGTTTTTATTTATAGTTATTAATTATTACATAATAAAAGAAAGATCAATATTATTTATTATATTAATTATAGTACGTGATATGTCTAGTATTAATAAATATAACCTAATTTTTAATTTAAAATTATTAATAAATTTATTTTATATTTTAGCTATAATATAGCATAAACTTATAATTGATTTTCTTGCTTTAACTTTATTGTATATAGATCTATTATCTGAAACTAATACCTTTATTATTTAATTAAAAAAATTTGTAAATGTTAAATAGCTTTTTTAATTATTTATTAAAAATGATTAAGATTAAATTTTATGCTACCATTTTTTTGATACTGATATAAATCTTTTATAAGTATTATAATTTGCTTAATAAATATATAACATTTTGTTAATTCTATAAAAAAAAGTAATATTTGTAAAATAATATAATATTATTAATATGCTTTCCATCTATTATTATTTTTTATTTATTTTATTTATTTCTATAGGAATAAGAATTTCTAATAATTTTAATTTATATAATAAATATAATATAATTGTTATCTAATTTTTAGATATGTGTAAAGTATATGGAGACCTGTCCAGCAAAAATCAAGGTTTAGCCAAAATTTTGATTTTAAAATTTTATTATAATTACATATTTATTGATCTAATTTTTCAGAAATAAAAAAAAAATTTATATATAATATATTAAAAAAATATAATATTTTATAATTTAAAATTGTTTTATTTTTTTATTATTATACTTAATGTTTGAAATAAACTTGCTAAAGAAAAACTAATGCTTTTAATAAATTCCTTGCAATATTTTATTCTAGTTTACAAAAAACCAATTTTAAAAATCTTTAAAAATGACAGAATAAGTTGACAGTTTACAAAATTAACTAATAATTTTAAACTGGGATTTTATCGAAATCACGTGATTTTCCGAACCCCGGCTTTTGCTGGACTGGTCCCCATATAGATTCCATTTTCTTATGCTTTTTTTTAAACCAGGAAAGTAAATTGACGAAATTGACTTATTTATTTATTACAAATTTTGTATAGAATACGAATCTTCATTTTATTTTTGTAAATTAAACGATATACGCAATAATTAAATGTGATACAGAAAGATCACACGTTATTATTTAGCCAATCACAATCTGATGATCTTCAGCCAATGATATGCTTTTGATTTGCCAATAATATTTATGTTATTTTTTATCACTAAATTTAGACTTTTCCTATGCTAATGGAAATACGACATGTGGAGTCAGCTGCATTTCACGTGTTTATTCTCACGTTTCTAAATATATAGGACCTTTGTCAATAGAAAGGGGCATTAACGCATTTTTTTATTTTTTTTTCCAGCCGTTTTCCCCTTTTCTATTTCTCTTTAATCCTCTTCAAATTTTTACTACTTTATAAAAGTTCACGTTTTTTTCAGTTTCCTTCATACAAGTTTTTAAGGGAAACAGTTGAGGTAGCTTTAACAAATTTCGTAGCTAGACTTCCCTAAAATTTTATCATGAATAACAAATATTTTAATGATATTAAACTTCGGGTAAGATTGTCACTTGAATAAATATTCAAATAATTAATTTAAGACTTCTAACAATTCTGTTTTTGCAGATTAAAAGTTCATTAAAAGTGGAACACGCTATTAACGAAGTAATCAGTTGCAGAAACGGTAATCTATCTATTTGGATTCCTAATACTGTAATGAATTATTTTAATTTAAAAATTGTACTTTCTCTCCTTAACATCTAGGTTTCGATATACTGTACATGGAAAATCTAGGGCTAGATGATGAATCTGAAGATAACAAGAAACATCTTGTCCATTTACAAAGTATGTACTCTTGTTTATTTATTTTCCTCTTAAAAGTCCGAGTTCCCAATTTCTAATAACATCCTAAACTCTATTGCAGTATATTATGCTGAAATGAAAGAATCCTTTGACCGACTTACCGACCGATTTTAATTGTTCAATATCAATAAGAAAATTTTTTTTTTTTGTTGTGAGAAGAGTTACGTAAAAGCACAAAGTTGAATACCGGGGAAAGACCGTACGTATGTACGATAAGGATTGTGGAAAAAGGTATAGTCGATTGGAATTCTATGAAAGATCATGTTAGGACACATGATGAGAAACCAGATGTATGAAGAGTTATTATTATTTTTATAATTATTTACGACACAAGAAAATACATGATACATGTACTTTCATTTGACGGAAAGATTCGCAAAACACATGTACGTTCATTCGACGGAAAGATTCAAGTGTGATCATCTACATCTATGATTAACAAATCTTTGTAAGATTGATCAGATTTTAAAAGGAGGATATAATAAAGGTTTTATTTGTACATAGGTTAATCTCAGCGGATATGCTTAATTTTATTAAAACAAGCGAATAAATTAATATAACTTGTACGGTTCACAAAGCGTTGATGAATAAATTATTTTAAAATCATATATAAATTATTTAAGATTCACGATTTACAAGATTCTTAATTTATCTAATCTCCCAGTCAAATTATTTTTTACAAATATTTACCTTTTATGTAAGTTTAGAGTAACTAGGTGGTGCATATCTTCTTCTTAAAAATTTAATAATATATAACGGAATGCTACTAACTGCTGTTATTACAGCAACTTTCCAAACAAATGTTTCAGTCAAAATAAATAGTAAATCTATTTTAAAGGAAATATTTTTTTTAAAAAATTAATATTAAAGAATAAGGAATTATATTACCATAATAATAATAATATTGTTTTACTTACCAAAATAAGTAGGTAAAAATATCATGGAAACAATGTAAATAGCTAATGTAAGAATTTCTGATAAAAACATTAACCTATGCCTATTTAATTATGCGTAAGTTAATAAACTAAATTTATAAGATTTTAAAAATTTTCTAATTTTGAGTTACATACCATGTATTGATCTCAAAAGCAACCATCAACAATTCATTAAGAATTAAAGCAGTAAAAGAAATGGAAACGATATTTATAAATTCATCCTCAAAGAGTACAATTGACATAATCATAATTGCGCCACCTAAAAAAATATTACTATATATATAACCAAATAAAAAAAATCATTTTTATTAACAAAATCATAAAATACCTTGATAAACACTAATCATTAGCCACTGAAAGAAAGTCTTCAAAGATAACGATCGACCCTAATTAAAAAGATGAAAAGATTTAATTTGTATATGCTAAATAATTTGAAATAAATATTTATCTACCTTTGTCAATTCCTTGTATAGTTCTGGAAATTGTAAAGCTATATCCTCGCTCACATCTTTATCTAAAACGAGCGAAAATACCGGTGCCATTGTATAAACTGTAGAATATCCAACGATCAACATCCCCTAATTTAATACAAAATTCGATTAAAAAATGTTTTTATATTATTAACTAGTAAATATGTTATTTTTTTTTACCTGATAAAGAGCAATAGGAGCAAAATAAAATATTGAAGAAAATACTGCTTGTATAACTGATATTATCAGACCACGATGAATAACGAATTGTGCTAATTTTGCAGAACGTTTATAACTATTTCTACCATGCCATACTAGAGAATTATTAAATAAACATAATAAAATATTATAAAAAATATAAATATTTGACATTAATTTAAAAAATAAAGCAATAGTTTTACTTACATAAAAGTTTTGTTAAATAGCTGAACTGAATCACTGAGAAATCTGCAGCCAAGGAAGCCTGTTTGCCTTCCTTTCCTACAATTCCCACGCCTGAAATTTAATTAACATAATTAGTATACAAATATCAAATAAGTCAGATTTCCTACAATAAATATATACTTACCAACATCAGCTGCTTGAATCATACTAACGTCATTACCGCCATCTCCTATGCAGCAAATTCTTTTATTTGTATATTTCTTAATGAGTCTTGTTATATCAGCCTGTAACATATATTATTTAACTAAATAAAATTATAAAATTATTTATCATTTTGATTATAAAATACCTTTTGAGTAGGAGAACATCTACAGGCAACAACGACCGGCAATTCTACGGCCAGTTCAATAAATTCAAATTGACAATGATCCATATAAAGCTGTAGTGATTCACCATCAATTACTAAACAGCAATCTCTTCTGGCTTGTAAACTAGCTAATTCATCCAAAGCTGCTTCAATACTTTGGACTATTGAATAAATTAGATGAGTATATATTTATAATAACAATTATAAATTCAAAAAAAAAAAATGTGTATAGATTTCTTACGTTTAGATATTTGATGAATAATTTGATTCCTTGAAGAGATTAATTTTGAAGAAATAGCGATACATGTTGCCGTTTCAATCTTGTCTCCCGTCAACATCCAAATTTTTAGACCTGCGTTTCTCAATAATTCTAAAGTGGTCTTTACACCATCCTGAAGCTTATCTTCAACTCCAGTTACTCCCAAAAGTTCTAGCTCGTTTTCCAGAATTGCATTTATAACAGCCTGCTCTTGAACTTTACGATCTGAAAGGCTCACCTTTGCTTCGTGATATCTATTAAATAAATTATTTTAATTAAATACATTTAAAAATAAAGTATGGAAAATTTCTTGTATCATTACCTATGTGTGAAATCATTATATACATCTGCTGATATTTTTTTACGTGCAACGACCAAAGTTCTTAAACCTTCTCTGGCCATGTTTCCACATTCTTCATCCAACCAATCATTGTATTGTACAATTTTACTCATTACAACATCTGCTCCTTTCTCATAAAAAAATATTTCTTCTGTCGTTTCATCTTTTACAATAATTCCCATTCTCTTACTTTCACTAGTGAATGGGAATATTTGCAGAATTTGAAACTTGAGGACATCACCATGTTTTGTACGAAGATGCATTTCATTGATATCGCGGAAAACAAGAGTAAGACCAACATACTCTGTCCATTTCACGATAGCAACTTCATCTGGTGAAGATGCTTGATATGTGATCACATTATCAGAATCAATTACAGGAGTGACCTTATAAATAAATAAATAAAATGGCGTTAATCAAAAAATTATATTAATTAATAATAATCAAAATACTTTCTCACATTATGACATAATGCCAAAGCAAGTACAATATCTTTTATTCTCGAAGTCATGTCTCTGCGACTCCTTCCAACTATAATAGTAGAAGTAGGGACAGCAGTTCGAGTCGCTCTCGGTATATGTGCCTCTTAGATGTGAAAATGATTAATATTAAATTTCAAAATTAAATTAAAAACATTATTAATATGTATTATACGTAATATAATACCTTTTCCTTGCTGCTTTTCAAATGCTACTTCAAGATGATGAGAAATTTCATCCATAGTATCAATATTATAGGCCATAGTTCCCAAATGAAGTTTTTTGAGCTCCATATCTATTTAATATTGAATTGGTTATAAATAATATTTTGAGAGTTTAATAATATTTTTAGCATTGTTACCATTTTTAGTTAATGTTCCAGTCTTATCTGACAAAAGATATTCTATTCTACCAAGTTCCTCAGGTATTGTACTGGTACGTACAATCGTATCAGGAATTTCATCATCATTCATGATTTGATACGCATAAACAGTTTTACCCATGTCTAAATTGACACGTAAACTAAAAATAAATATATTATTAATAAAAAAAAATTTTAAATGAATTGCAAACTTTATTAAATAAAAGACTCACCCTATTGGAATAATGGAAGAAAAGAGAATTAAGAATCGGAATAAATAAATATACCAGAGTCCTCGAAATCCATTCAAAGCAATAAGCAACAATGACAATAATAAAGTAACTACGAACAGAATCTATCAAAAAAATAATATTTGATTATTATTATCTCATTTAAAAATTCAATTATATTACTGTTTTCATTTTTATCAAGACCGACCGACCTTAGAAAGCCGATTAATTTCATGATCAAGTAATCCAACTTTCGTCTCTGGATGACTTGTATTCATAACAGCTCGAGTCTCTTTACCAGTGTAAATCACAAATCCAATAGCAGTACCTGATGCCAATACTGTATTCATCCATAATGTATTTTCAACATTAAGGGCATCAATATGCGGTGTCTATAATAGGTAACAACAAAGAAATTAATCTTATTTTTAAAAAATAATTATTTGAGGAATTTTTTAATATAACTTACCAAATTTTCTGGGGTTGATTTAGAAAAATTTCCAATGAAATTATGAATGTTTTTATGTGGAATATCAGCATAAATTTCCGCATCAATATGTAGAAGACTTTCATTTGATGGTAACTTTTGACAATATGGCACAGCCAACCTATGACAATAAACGAAAATAATAAATATGAGAATTTCAAAATTTCAAAATAATAATATCGAGATGGAAAAAAAACCTTAGTTTCCAATCAGTTTCACCATCTAACTGATCAGTCCTAATAAAACAAGCACCACTTGTTTCGGTTGTCCGGAGCAATATTAAATCTGCAGGAACCTTCATTAAATTAATTAAATATAATTAATACTTAAAATTACTAACAAACTTGTAAATGTTTAGACCATAACATACTCTTTGATCCTTATTAATTAGAATTAAGTCCCCGACTCTTATTTTTGAACTGGGTACTAGTTTAATCCCATTTCGAGTCATTATTTCATATTTTTGAGAATTATTTTCTTGATCTCGCTTAAACCTTTTCCAATCATCATACGCTTCTTTACCAATTGTTACAAGAAGCACAAAACATAATGGACCAAAATACGTGACAATATAACCTAAAAATATATTAAGACATTTTTTTTGAATATCAATTTCTATCTAGGAATATGTATTATAATAACATTTTCATACCAATTTTCAATGGTGGAATAAATTGAGATAATGCAACGAGAAGAAAATATAAATTAATGAATATGTGAAACTTAAAAGAAAAATTATTATAAGAAATAGAATTAGTATTAAATTTTCTAAAGATGTATTAACAAGCATCTATAAAAATTTAATTGTTATTTACTTGTTGATAAAATACCAACGGAAAAAAAGTAATTAAGTTATATTTTTGATTTCGGACTACATTTGGCGGAAATTTATCTTTTATTTTATCTAAAAATTATTCACAATAATATTATTAATAATAATAATAATAGCAGTAGTAGTAATAATAATAAAAGAAAAAGCAAACATACCTGATGCATGAAATGAAATTGTACGTGCTTTGGCTTGTGGAGATCTAGATGATGAAATATTAGTCGTAGATGTTGAGGTTCCTACATTACGACGCCTCCTCGGAGATACTGGAGATGATGTTTCCTAATATTCAAAGCAAATAATTACATTAATTTTCTGTCAATATAATTTTTTCTATTTTATTTTTTTCTGATTTGATATATTGTTTACACGGCGGAAATTTAATGTCTTCCATTGTTTAGTGACATTTAAGAATTCCCGATTGCTGTTAATGGGATCTGTTAAAAGGAATCTAACATATGGGGAAGGTTAAAAAGCCGGGAAACCACTTTTTCTATAATAGAAGTGTAAAAAAGCGACTTTTTTTATATATACCTCTGCCCAATCGTCGTAACGATTTTGAATTAAAGGAGCTTCGTCCTCTAAATCTGAACTTCTTTGTTTTACCCTATTCTCCGAAAAAGGCATAATAGTTTTTAGAGCGATAGAAGGTTCTCTCACCATTATTACGGAAATTTATATGGAAATTTATAACAAATTCATCGAATCGGTTCAAAAAGTAAACCGAATTATAGTTTCAAATTAGGGTAATGTGGTATTTAAATGATGCACAGCCATTGTCACAGCCTAAATTAATCATCGGCACGTGATTTTTTGGGGCCGAATTATACAGAATGCAGTAACATGTGAAATTATATTACCATTCTGTTTACTCAGTATATAAGAAGTCACGTACTTTAAGAAATTTGCTTGTCTAAACCTATTTTGGATTTGGCAAAACTTTAGTTTCACCAAGAAATGATATCATTAGATTTTGGGGATTTTTTCCCTTTTATCATAAAATCAAAAATAATTCAATCACGTGATATCATATAACAAAATTTAATTAAATTTGTCTACCTACTTTTAGTTATTTTATATGTACATGATAAAGGAATTTAATAATTTTGTTTATTTTAAAAATCATTATACATTATTAAATTAATTTAAATGTATGGTTCTGATTTTAAGATTGTAAATTTCTTACTATTAGAAGACTGATCTATATATTTGAGTTCTTTTAATATATTATGACTTTACTAGAATTATAAATTATTTATCATAAATTACTTATGCTCTTTTTTTTTCCATCAATATATGTCTTAATATACATTTTTATATACAATCTATATTGAAAGTAATAGTAATAAAGACATCACATCTTTATTTGATCATCACTTATATTATTAAATTTTTAATAATCATCTTTATAATAATGCAATGAATTATTAAATTATCATTGAATTTTTTAGTAAGATAATGACCTGAAATACACTTTTTATAATGTTTAAAAAGAAGTTCTTCCTTAGCTTTTATATAATCCTGATCTTAATCTGATTAAAAATATCTGAGCTATTTTAAAAAATAAGATTAAAAAAAAGATTAAAAAAATAGTAATATAATTTTAATAATACTGTAATAGTTAACTATATTAATAGAATGCTAAATCAAATTAAAGTATATATTAATGTAAAAGGAGTATATACTAAATATTAATTAATAAATAAAAGTTATAGCTATAACTTTTACATTTTTTTTTAAAAAAATTTTATTTAGATTTATTATAAAATTGCTTGTTGTTAAATTAAAAATTATCTGCTATTATTTTTGATACAAATTGTATATCTTTGTTAAAAATACTTTTTATATTTAGCATATAAATTCTTAATATAATTCAGATAAAAACTTAGATAATGCTATTATAACTAAGAAGCTAATCATTAAAGTATTCTATTATTTGTTGTATTTTGTATAACAAAAAAAAAAAAACTATTATTAGTAATAAAAGTTTAAAAATATTAAAAAGTTTATAATAATTTATAATAATTTTAATTATTATATTTTTTAAATTTAAAGAATATAATACAAATTTATAAATAATTCAATTTTTATGTTTCTTTTTTAATATCTGAAAATATAGTATAATTATATATTTGATATATATAGTAATATATAATATTCTGATACTTTTACATCTTTATTATTAAAAAAAAATTACATTCTCAATTAGTGTTGCCTGCCTATACTATTTTTATTATAACTAAACTTTTATCAATTTTACATTTGACTAAATTTTTAACTAAAATCTAAATCTTTAAATAAATTTTTAGCAAATAATTAAATGACTAAATTTAAATTATAAATTTTTATTTATTTATCTTTATATTATTATTTAATATTTATTAATTTTAACTTAAATCTTTTATTATTTATTATTAATTAAATATATAATCAAAAAATATTACTAATTAACATTATAAATATAATTATTTATATAGTAAACAAATGTAATAAATAATTTTTAATTACAAAAATTTTAAAATTCTAAAATATATAGTAAAATAAAATATTATTAAAAATTATAAATTAAAATCCATGAAAAATTAATGAAAAATAAATTTGATATTTTAACTTATTAATTATTAAATAGTTTGTTTTATCAAATAATTAAATATTCCAATTTCGCTGAGTATCATTATTCTTAACTATTATTTTAATAGAATTAAAATATTAGATAGACAAATTATTTATTTTAAACAATTAAATCTCATATTGATATAGTATATACTAAATATATAACTTACTATTTTATCTATCATTAATACTAAACATCTTCAAAATATTATTTAACATATTTTCAAAATTCAGAAATTATTTAAGTCTACTTTTATTAATATTATATAAATTAATTACTATTTTATTATCTTTATTAACAAGTAACTATTTTATATATAACATAATTTACTTTCTATTATATTACTAGCTATATTAAAATTACTAATTAACTTTTGATATAAGAAACAAATTTGATATTTTTTTATTAGCATACCTAATATAAATTAGTTTTATTTTTAAATTGTATTATATAAATTAAGTATAATAATTAGCATTACATTTTTTAAATGATTACAAATCATATAAGATTTTTATTATTTTTTTATCACTTAAATTATTATCAACATATTATAGAAATATATATAAAATATATTATTATTAAATAAATAACAAAAAATCTCAAATTTATAATAAATACTGTAAAATGCTTTTTATAGTAATTTACCTTGTTAAATATTATAATGATATATATATAATATAATACAAATATGTTAAATATTTTTATCATTACTAATTTTTTTATTTTAATTAAACTATTACAATTAAAATACTAAATATACCAAAAATTAAATTTATTATATTAAATTTAAATATTTTACAATAGGTATTTTATAATGTTTAAATGAATTTTTAATTAAATTTGAATCAAGAGATTTTTATACAATTTTTACCTATTTAGCTAGTTTTAAATATGATAGTTTTTAATATAATTTAAGGATATAGTTTTATGAATTTTCTTTATTATTTATTGATTATATAGTATGCAAACTTTTTAAATTAATTTTATTAATATTTATATAAAATAAATATAAAATAAAAATTATCTATATCTTAAATTTAAACTTTTATTAATTATAATATTTAATAGTTATAATTTTGATATTAAATCATTAAAAATAACTACCATATTTATATTTTTATAACAAGTTGATTTTTAATTAAATAAAATTTATATATACAAAATGAATCTAAAATTAAAAGAAGATCATTTAGTTCAAATATTTTCAATCTATTATAACATTTATTTTTATTAATCTAATTCTTTTATTTACATGAATAAATATACCTTTAGAAAATTTTTTTAAAATATATTTTTAATTTAAAAATAATAATTGAAGATAATTTTATTCTATTAACTATATATTTAAAATTACTATAAAAATTTTTTTATTCTAATGCTAATTATATGAATATTGCATTTTTTAATTATTATTAAATTAGATATATCAAAAGTAAAAGTAAAAGATATTTTATCTATATTTTTAATTAAATGTAAAGAATAATTATATTAATTATATTTATTTAAAATATAATTTAAAAAATTATATTTTTTCTTCTAAATTTTTAGGTAAATATTATGTAATAGTTATATGACATCTAATTAATAAATTATATTAATTTAAAATATTTTCAAACTATTTATTTGAAAATTTAAATGTTTATATATCTGATAAGTTTTGAAGATTTATATTTTATAAGCGATATTGCTTTTATAATTATTAATAATTATGTAATAGGATTTTATAATTACTATTATTTTGTAATCTAATCAAATAAAATATCTTCTAATTATAAATATTTAGATAATTTTTTTTTATGTAATTTAAGCATTCTTAAAAGTACATTAATTAAATCTTTTTTTATTTATTTAATCTTTTAATTGTTTAGTTAGATATTAAATTTTTTACATATTTCACACATACTAAATTTATTATTTTCATAAAATGTAATAATCTTTAATATTTTTGAATATATTAATATCTTTATAATTTTTTTGTTATTCTTATTTTTAATGCACTTTTATAAATATTTTAATAAATAATTTTATTTTAAAAAATTTATTCAAGTATTTATAAAAATTTTTAAATATTAAATTTTATTTAATAATTATAATTATAAAATAAGAAATAATAATATTTTGAATTAATTTAATATTAATCTAGATTTGATCTTATATTATATAAATTTAAAATTTAAATTTAAAATTTTAAATTATGATGAATTTCAACAGAAGGTAAATTTTATTTTGATTTTTATAATGTATAAATACTAAACCTTTTAAATGTTTTTTTAATATACAAAATGCCATTTTTCTCTTTATACTTTTTAACGATAGATAATTTTAAATAGATAACTTTTTTAGATAATAATACAGAATTTAATATCCTTTATTCTAGTCATGATAATAATAGTTTATTTGATTACTTTTTTTCATCATATTCTGAATCTCTCAATAATTTTTCTAATACAAACTTTTCATTATATGAACATTTTAATGTAAATCTTTTACCATCTTTTAAATACTTTGAACCTTTTGAATCTCTTAAGTTACCTTATAAGTTACCTTCTATATTACCTTTTGTATTACCTGCTGAGCTATCTTCAGAATGATCTTTTGATGATATAGAGAGTTTATTACCCTTAAAACAATCTTTTAATGATAATACTTATTAATACAACCTTACTATAGAGGACTACTTTAATGATTAGTCATTAGTTAATTCATTTATATATTAATATTATTTAAAACGTAGTTTCAGATATCAGATTTTTTGTAATAATAAAGATTCAAGTGATTCAACTATTATCTAGTAAAAATTATTTCAATGTTCATCAAACATTAATTATAAATGCTGAAAAATAATTAATCAGAATTTACATTATTTGTGTAATACTATCAAAACAAATTATAAATAGCATTATAGATGAGGGACAAAACCCCTTAATAACAGTTAAAACTTAGACAAAACTATATTAAAATCATAATAAGGAATATGACGAAACCTTTTCAATACGACAAAAGCTGAAACTATCAAAACTATATTAAAAATATAGAAAAGGATATGATGAAATTATTTTGAGAAGATTTTGGCAGGCATCTATAATAGCATATTAATTTCATATTTTCAAAAATAGCATAATAAATAAAATGCATAATGTTAAAAGATGTGCATAATTATGAGCTAAATCTAACTCATATACCTCATTTTATTGCTAGATATCAATATTTTAATAATAAAATAATACAAGATATAAAGTTTTTTGGATTATAAGGTTATGCTAATTATTCAAATTAAAATTTAAAAAAAAAATACCCAGAACATGTCTTTCATAAGTAAGATATATATAATACAATTTATAAATTATGTTAAAATAATATAGATATAAAGCCTGATTCAGTATTATTTCTTGATATACTTTTTGAAAAAATAACTCAAGATACACGTTGAAAGGTTTTTATTCAACATTTTGACAATAAAAGTTATTTATCAGGTGTTTTTTAGATGTCCCTTCTCAACAAGAGTTATATCAAAGGTTTTCTGATATAATATTAAGTGATAATACTTGTAAAACTAACAAGTATAATATGTATTTAAGTGTATTAATGGTAAAGGATTATTATGAAAAGTTTTAGAATATAGTAAATATGCTAATAAAAGATAAATTATCTTCAACATATATGTTGATTTTGCAATATTTGGTAAAAGTAACTAATAATATAATTTTAAAGTCAATTTGAACTGATTTAGAATCTGATCTTATTAATGCTATTTCATAAAATTTTTCAATCATATCACATTTTATTGTTTTTATTATATTTGATAAAATATGACAAAGGAAAGTTAAGTTTAAAGGTTTTATTTATTTAGCAAAGCATTTTATTTATATAGAAATATATTAAGCATAGAATTATTTAAATAATGTTAAAATTTTATGATCAAAGAATTTTCAGAATGTGAAAGATATAGGCCAAAGTTTGCACTCTATTTTAATTTAATAGTGGTATTCAGGATACTCAAGATGTTAAATTATTTAATGGAATTATCAAGAGCAGTTAATAGTGCTAGTATCCTTTATAATATAGAAAAAATAATTAATAAAAGGTACTAAGAAGAAATTTAATATTATTAATTAATAAATATTAAGGTAAATTATACAAAAATTAAACTTTTACATCTTTTATCTCAATTTTTTCAAGTGTTGATATAGTTATTGTAAAATTCTTGATTCTCTTATTTTATTTTTACAATAATTTTAAATTTTACAATCATTTATCATCAAACTTATTTAAGGTAAGTATTTATTATATAATAAAAGAATAATGTTATAATATGCTTATAAAAGATTTATCTTTATTTATAGAACTTAGATTTATAAACTAATACTATAGATAATAATTTTGTAGAAGATGTGATAGATGAATCACAAATAATATTAAAGGCTCTATTAGATAATATAAATATATCAGATATTGTTAAAGTATAAAGAATTCGTTAAGTAAGATGTATTTCATGTAAAGAAAATCTAATTATTCTTTTTACTAATAGAAGTCATATTTGCATATATATAAAAATAATACAAAGGAAATAGTTTGTCATCATTTTTAGTAGATTATGCTTTACTTAAATTTAACAAAATTTTATATTAGCATTATACTTATCAAATGATATAAAGATGATATTTTATTAAAATTAGACGATATACTTAAAAATTTTTCAGTATTTACAGCAATAGAAATATTTACTAAAATTCTAAATAATAATAAATTTTATGCTTCAAAGTTTAAGAAATTTTCAAGGATTAGATTACAAAGAAAATATTTGGCAAATTATTTCTCAAAGAAATCAGTTTAGAGTAGCATTTTTAATTACTAAAATAGCAATTAATATTACCTTAGAAACTGAGAGTAATAATAAATTGGTTAAATTACTAAAAGATTTTATATCAACCCTATGAAAAATATATGATCTATTTTACATGCAGTAAATGTTTATCATATAATACTCATAATAATTGTTCATTAAATATATATATTATATTTATATTTTAAATATTAAATATATATAAAAATGAGTTCAATACAAATTATAACTTTAAGTTTTCATAGATTTTATATTATATATATTTAAATTATTTATTATTTGTATATAAATTATTTATAAAAAATATATAAATTATATTATTTATACATAAATTATTTATATTAAATGTATTTATTACTTATTATGTATATACAAATTATTTTTTAAATATACATAAAATATTTATATCACCTATCATTAATTAATGCTGATATTTTAGACTGTTATTCTTTTCAGCTTTGAGTTCTTGAATTTTCTCTTTTAATTGGTTAACCTCTTTTCTTAATACTATATTACTATTTTTTTTAAGCTGCTATATCTTTCTTTTTATTATATCATTATTTTTTGACAGAAGATTTTATGAAACCTTCTTTTTTAATTTTATTATTATTGAATCTAGCATTTTTAGTCTGAGAAGATCTGTGAAGTACAGTCTGCTTTAACTTCAAATCACTTTTCTTAATATTATTATTAAAATTATTTAAACAACAGATGGACATTCGATTAATTGAAAAAATAACTTATTTTATAATATTTTTGGGTAAGTGAAATTTCATTAGACTTGTTATTAAAACCAGTAGGATCACTTTCAAAAAATTTAACACTTGACTTTTCATATTAAGTAATGACATATCATACTCTTCATTTATTTCAATATCTGAATTGATCACTTTTTATTTTTCTTTTCTTACTTCAGAAAGTATTTTTTTCCATTTTTTTATGTTCTTCAATTGTTGATTAATATTTTGAAAATTATCTATTATATTTAAATATAATTAATATATTAAATATAATAAATTAAAATATTGAAATTTAAAAATAAATATAAATTTGAACTTACTTACAGAATTTTTAACAGAACTTTTATGATCGTTTTGAGTATAATTTCTTTTATGCTTAAATACTTAATTGGATTCTATAATATATATATTATAAATATAATATTTTATTAATAAAAAAATTTATGATATATAAACTGCATATCTTTCATTTTAGAATTATTATCAGATTTTTTAGTTAAATGATAGTTGTTACCTATAGAAAATAATTACTTAATAAATATATCAAATTAATTTAATGTTATTAAATACTTATGATTTATATTATCTTACGATGCATAAGATATACTAAAGGCCAATCTCAATACAAAGTGGAAATTTGGATTATCCTTCTTAAATTTTTAAATAATATCTGCTCTAATTTTTTTATTAAAATTCTTATATTAAACTTCAGTAGGAGTATAACACTTATTACTGAAATACTCACAAATATCAAGTATATCTAACTTAACTTTTGCTAGTTTTTCATTAGATTCTTTTCAACTTTTATTATGTAAAAGTCTATTATTTGAAACATTTGTAATACTATCTATAAAATTCAAAACGAAGGAATCACAATTATTTTTGACAAGATCTGAAGCAGTTGCTTTCATTTACTCTATCAGGATCCTACAAGATCATAATATTAATATAATACTCTTTGCCAAAAATGGACTATAAGAATATAAAACACTATTTACTAAATTATTCACTATAAAAAAGTTATATACATCTACTTCCAAAGTTCTTACCATTTTTAAATCTACACAAATCATTTGACTAGCAAATGAAACATGCTATGATAAGTTTAAAGCACTTTTCTTCTTTAAATATTTATGAAAGTGGTAGGCTTATAAAGCTTTACTGTTTTAAGATTGGTTTTTAACATACACAAGTTCGTCTTAATTTCATTCTTAGTAAGCGGTTCTTCCTGTTTTGATTTTTTAATACTTCAAAGATTACTTACATCTTCATATGCATCATCAAATTAACACAGAAGCCTTATATTAGTACTAATTTAGTTAATCTTAATCATGTATGCACATTCATCAACATATTCTAAATAAATCATCAACTATATATAACTTACATACAATTGACAATATACATGAATGCTATATTTTTCTTTATAAATCATAACTAAGATCTATCCCTATATGTCTAAAGAATTAATATGACTGATTAAATCTATGTCTATATAGTTATGGGTACTCACTTAATCTAGTTATAAAAATATCATTCTGCACAATCATCATGTGGAGTTATAAATCAGAAAAATAATAGTAATAATTACTAGCCTTCAAGAGAATATCAATGAGTTTTAGATATTTTTCTGAAGTCTAATCATAATTTTTTTTTACTACTATAATTGTTTGATGAATTATTTTTCTTAACTTATCTTTTGAATACCATGATCATCTTTTATTAGTTAAAAATAACAGAAAATGCAATAATATGATCTAAGAGTAAATCAAATAAAAATTATAAATATTTTCATATAATGCGAAAGAAAATATAATGACAAAAAAATATAGTGTTAGAATTTCGCTAAAAAAATAATAAGTGATAAATAACTTGAATTACATACACTTATCCTTTTAAATCTCTGGTAACTTCTTTATTTATATTCTCTCTAACTCACATTCATGTTAGGAAAAAGAGATAGAAGAACTGTGTGAGACACTTTACATTAAAATTTTGTGTTTGAGAATAAAGGCATGCGAAATATGCATTGAAGATTTCAACTTTTAGAATAGTATTAAGAGATAATGTATATACAAACTTTTTTTACTTACCTGACTGCTTACTACTGTTAACGTACAATCTTTCAGGTTGCAACTGTTAGACGCAATATCAAAGGGTTAACTCTTTTATAGTCTACATAATAATTTCAGTTAATTTACGCTAACCTTAGCTAATTCACTACCAGTTTATTAAGTTAAATCAAGTTTATTAGATGCAAGCGGCTTTAACCACAAGTTAAAAGTTATTACAGTAGTTCAAGAAGAGTTTTCAGATAAGAAATAATGTTATAGAAAGATATTAATCCAAAAGATCATATAACACATATGATATACGTGACCAAAAAGGCATATTAACTGCGCTATATTAGATGACGAAGATGGCGAAGATGAGAGAAATGAATTAAACAAAGATTACACAAAAAATTCAGAAGTCGCTGGAAAATTCCATTATATTATTAATTATTTTGTATTATTAATCATTTATTATTTATAATCAATTAGTATTTTATTTATTTATATTAGCAAATTTAGTATAAAT